ATTATATATATTTTAAAGGATAACTAATTCCACAGAGGAATAATTCAGATATCAAATTTTATAATTTGATAGATAGATAAATGAGGCCTCACTCTAGACCAATTAGTAATATATTGATAAATAATTGATATGCATTCTTTAAGCATACTCTACTCTACCTAAGCAACGAATATAGCCTTTGTACGACATCTTGTGGGGTATGCAAATATGCATCATGCGCCCTGTTGTGCGCGATCCGAAGCAGCTCAACTCACAGAGATAATACAGTACGCAAAAAGCGCGTGTTTTATTTCCACTTAGCAGACACACACACATACGCACACACAGACAAACACACACACAATAGTCGTACACGCTTACCCACAGACACACACACACACATAACTATATTGAATGCCTGTTAACGGCTGTTTTTAAAAAAATTGTCCTCTCTTCGCTGTCTTTCTCACCCACCCCCACTCAGGCCCCACACACAGACGCACACTGAAACACACTGAAACAATAACAACGGCAGCAGCAACAAAAGCGCACAGGCATCGGAAATGTTGGCGTTGAAACTGAAATGTCGCCACGCTCGCTTCACGTTTGTTTGCAGCGTACTCGGCTGGGTGGATGGGGCGCAATGCGTCCTACGTTCATGTAAACGGGACGCAGCTCTGTCAGAGAGTTGCTTGAATTACGATATTGTTATTATGAAATGGATGCATGAGCCGGGAGCAGCGGCAGAGTTAGCTGCAACTGTTTGATAGTTCATTCAAAGTACCATTTAATGCTTTGCACTTAAACTGCGTTTGTGTCTATGGGAGAGTGTGTGTGTTAGTGTGTGTGTGTGTATGTGTGTGTGCTGGAGCATATAGTTTAAGCGACTTCGTGTCAAGGCACAAATCAAGTGGCGCTGATGAAATAACATTTAACATGCAACTCAATTTAATTTGCCCCGGCAATGGCATCTCTAGGAAAATCACAAAACCGAAAGAAACACACACACTCACACACGCCCAGACAACAGCTGCAGTTGCAGCCCGAGAGTGCTGTCTGGTGTGTGGGCGCATGCTGCATACTTGTAGGCGCACTGCAATTACGTGCCACTGCCACTGCGTTAGGCCTGGCATTGTGTTCGTGTGACCTGCAGGCATTTGAATCCCATCCAATCGATTGCACCCACGCCCATGCCCTCGCCCAGGCCCAACACAACACAACACAGCAGAACACAGCACGTCACGGCACAGTTGCCCTGTAACTTGGCTCCTCGGCATGGAGTAGCAGTATGTCCTTGTGCTCTAAGCGTGTGCACTGCAGCGCTGTGCTTTTTAATTTGCAATATTAAACGCTCAATTGTTGCCGGTCGCCTCGCACCTTCTCAATATTGAAAGCAGAGATAAGCGACAGATCTGCTTCAACGAGGGCTTTTCTCAGCCTGGCTGTCATAACAAAACGGCTTGCAAGTCATCAAATATCAGGTGAGCTGCTGCTGCACAATTGTTAGCGACTGCCACTTACTATAATGAAAGCACATTCTTTTTTTTTTGGTTGGAGACAAGGCAGTCAACAAAAAGTGTGAGTTCTACAACTCTGAGGTTAAAATGTTTAGTTTACTTCTTGACAATAATTGTATAGTAATCTTTGAATGAGCATCAGCAGAAATTGTATTAGTAAATAGTTCTTTTACAGTAAGAGGGACATACCCGATAATCATTGTTGAATATAGAAATTTGTTATTTGTGTGAGAGGACTTAAAATGTAGAGTATTTTATATTTGTATCGACTCTGGGAACCAATATATAAAGATATTGTTACTCTATCTTGTATTATTTTACATTGATCTTGATTACAGGACCGTCTTGTAGTCAAAGTCTACAACTCCTTTACAGTTCGGTATCGTAGAGTTCCATTGCGCGATAAAGACACTTAAAGGCTAGATCGATTCCGATTTAAAATTGTATCGTAATAAGTCCCATTTCAATTATTAAAATTCTTATTTTCAAGAGTTGATTGGTATATAATAAGGATAGCTATTGCAATATGTGGCTTAAAGCGTGGCTTACAACCCGTATGCATTCGCTTGTTTCTATTACTTATCAACACGTCGGACCCAACCCAAAATATTCATATTTCAAGCTTAAGTGCTCGTTATGCAAAGCATTATCACTCACTTAAGAAGTTGCACTTGAAGAGGGCATTTAAGATGTTATGTGGCTGAGCGTTCTATAAGCAAAGTAAATTCAAATGTATTTGCCAATAACTTTTATCCTTTATGGACTGCCGCTGTTCCCAAGTTTGCAACATGTAACCGACCATAAAAAATTACAACTGTGCATTAACCTTTTGCGCTTTGCTGGTCACTGGGGGTAGCATCGCATCGCAGGGCATCGCAACGTATCGAATCGAATTGCATTGAGCTGCAAGGACAACAAGGAGGGCAGCTTCATTGGGCGCTTATCACTACATGCCATCAAATTTTAATGTCAAACCCTTTTTGGCCAGGCCAAGACATAACCAAGCTGGGGACTGGGCCTGGGGCAGCAGCCTCAGCGGGCAGCAACATATAATAAGTGTTGTAAACGATGCAAACATAATAATTTGTAAGACTTCTGAAAGCGGAAACTTGTAATTTTCTCAAACAGCCAACAGAGACCCCCGATTTTCCCTGTCTGGGGCATCTATCGTATGTATGCTTGTGTGTGTGTGTGCTGCACATATGCACTAAAATGCAGCCCAGAACATTCCAGTTCCAGTCAAGCGGTTGCCAAAAAAGAAGAGAGAAAAATAAGAAATGCGAAGATGAAACCATCAAGCAAATGTACAGCAGCCAAGTCGAATGGACACTGGATAAATAACTACTGAGTTATAGTGCCAGCTCGATGGCTGCTACTTGGCCTCCATGCTCTAGGAGCGCGGCGAGATTTCGAAAATATCTACATGGGACAATCAGAATCAGAATCAGCAGGCAGGCAGGCAGGCAAGCACGCAGTCAGTCATTGGCAAGGAGTCGGGCACTGGGAAAAGCCACCACAAGCAACGCCATTGAATCAAATTTGAAAAATCCTTGACGTCAAAGACAAACAAAGGGCAATAGCAATGTGCTCGGACAGGATGTGTCTCTGGGTTGTAGTAAATGCTCCGGCACAGGGTGTGTTGCGACTCCCATTCCAATACACACACACATATATTTATAGATAGACATATACATATGTATGTGTGTGTGTGGCAAGTGGTTAAGATTTTTTGTCGTATTCAATTTCCTAGTTTGTGGGGTTTATTGTTAGATCGAGGAGTACGTTAACTAGGCCTTGCTCTTGGCTAAGTTTATTGAATGTGTCTCCATATAGCATCCAATTCGGATGCCATTTGCATTTGAGCTTCCCTTGCTTTCGTTTTAGTTTAAAGAGCATTCATTGTTCGTTGGGTGCAACATGAATGTACATAAGTAACCCTAACTAGGCTCTTTTGACTTGGCTAAAGCCTCTCGGCTTTCGGCCTTTCGCAAATGCGGAAACACAAACGCAAACGCGTGGCCTCGACATTACAAAATATCTTGAAGACTATTTGTAATTTGCATTCATTGACGCCGTTTTTATCGCTGGCTGGAAACAAACTGTGAAATCTCCATACGTATGCCATGGTAAATGTGTCAACAGGCAACGACAATGTCGCCATTCAGCTGGTTGTCCATCGACTTACATTTCCACTGACTGTGGGCGTGTGTGGGCGTATGTGGGTGTGTGTGTGTGTGTGTGTGTGTGTGTGTGTGTGATGTGAATGCGTCAGTATGTGTGGGCTTCCTGCGAGTGTGTGTGGATGTTCTTGCTATTTCCGACTTTTCACGTACCTTCATCAAGTTGTCATTCAATTTTTAAATCCATAGCAAGTTTTGTACTTAATATAGTTGTGACAAGTTGACAAAAAGTAAGTATGCCTCCGTTGACTTCCATTTAAAACTTGCCCCACACACGCTCTGAAAGAGACGTTGATAACAAGAGAAGCTTGCAGGAGCTTGCAGAAGCGCACTTGAAGCTTTTAAATGAAATAATTATAAATTCTGAAATGGAAATTTAATGATAGCATAATTATCGTGAGGAATAAAACAAGTCTTTCAGCAATGGAGTTTAATATCCTTGTCAAGGACCCCTTAAAATATTGCCAATTTAATTAGCAGCCCAGATAAAGCATTAATCCCACTCTGACTTGCACTCATACTAGATATTAGTAAATCACAATGGATTATAAATCTTGTAGCAATTGATTTTAATATCCCGCTCTCACCTAATGCCAATTGAGAAAGCTTACCATCTGCAAATGCATCTTGTACGTAATCCGCATATGGTGGAGCATTCTTGTAGCAGCTGAATGTTGACTTTTACCTTTTGCTGAAGCAAGTGGCGTCGGTGCTGCTCTGTCCTGCATTAATCCCCACGTAATGAGTTGTACGCCATTTTACGTTAAATTGTTTGGTGAGTGCCTGATAACAATATTTGCACTAATTTGGCATTTTTAAGTGTGCTCCACTGACACTTGATGCGCTTTTAATTGCGCCGAATGCTCGAGTGTGCTTTTGTCGAGCTGCTGCCGGAGAGCATGTCTGCTGGCGGCTGGTGGGAGGGGGATGTGCGGGGGGGAAAGAGACTATTGCTATGCCTGTTACTGTGGCTAGGACTGTGCCTGTGTGTGGTTGGCAGTGCATCCAGCTGCCGGCTGGCTTGTGGGTGTCCCAGTGCTTGTGGTTGTCTTGCCAACTTGGCTACGTTGTTGCAACGACGCGTCGCCTGCCGTCATGTGGCAAGAAATGCTAAAGATAAACGATTCATTAGTTGCCACAATATTGGGCTGACTTTAATGACAGTGCACTGTGTACATGTGTGCATATCTTTCTCTGTGTGTGTGGGTGTATGAATATGTGCTCGCCACAATCAATGTTGCATGCCGCCAACAGATGGCAACTAAAATTTTATTACTATCCAAATTCTTATATTTGCAGTACGAGACGCCTGATTGCAACGCTGCCGGCGGCAATATGCGTGCCTTGAGCGGCGCCAGTGCCAGTGATTTACTGCAGAAGCATTCGATTAGCTCAATACTGGAGCAGCATCAGCAACACCAACAGCAGCAGCAGCAGCAGCAGCAGCAAGATCTATTGGCCAGGCGCGCCGATGCCAGCGACGGGTTTATATCATTCATAAATGGTACGTTATAGACGTTACTATATAGACTAAGTTAAACGAAATCTATATATATGTATATGGCAACATTCATCATGCAACTGCAACAACAACTCACAACTACATAAAGTGCTCTCTTACTCTATTATCATTCAAGCAGAGTAAGCAGTATCTACTATAAGTATAAGATCTCTGTATGTCAGTTGCTTCAATCTACAGCTCTATGCCCTATATAGAGTATCTTTACAAAAATCCATTGCTTTGAGGCTACGTTCTCGAATTCAGTATTATTGGAGTGGCCATTGGGGTAATTGTCATAGTATAGAGACTATTTTAGTAATTGTGAAGTCGTTTTACACTGGCACTGCTGGCATTTTCTTGTCAACATTATTTGGAGTCTGGCGTACGGACGTATAAATTTCAATCATTTTTTACCTTTTGAAGTCGGCACACAAATATCCTTCGATAGTTAAATTATTATTATTCTTTATTTTGTTTAAAGTAGTTTAAACTAGGATCGAAGTTCCTTGTATAAATTGCATTATAAGTGTACACGCCCAATTGCCATTTGCAAAGGAAGCGCAATAAATTTTCAAGTAATAGTCAAATTTTAAATACCTAAATACCAAATTTCGTGTGTGGAGTACACGTAACCCGAGCAACAAAGCATTTGAGCATTTCAGCATTCCAGACCATCAGAACAGGAAGAAACTAGCGGCCATGTTGGGTATCGAGGAACTATATATGAGAAAGACGCCAAGCGCTCTGCCAAGTGGGTCGCCCACGCAGGAGACATTTGAATTTGGCATCAACTATGACGGCAAAACTATCGGCAATAATACCAACAGCAGCGCCACCACCACCTCCAACACCAGCGGCAGCACCAAGACCAGCAGCAGCGCAACCAAATCTTCTAGCATTACCATTGACGAGAACCTTGGCATGATGGCAGCTGGTGATGGCGATGGCCGGCAGAACTTGGCATACGACAATAATGCGAGCAACAGCAACAACAATAACAACAACAATAACAACGCAACCCAGTGCAATTGCAGTAAGTTGCTAAATGTGCCAAAAAAAAA